TCGCTTTGCCATCCAGCTCTTTCTGCAGGAGTCTGTGCAATACGGTGTGTGTGCTGCCTACACTCACTTCTACCCAGTAGTCTTAAATCAGCAGGCTCTAGATGAGCTTCTGGATGTTATTCAGGTACCTATGGATGAATATGAATTTTTCACAGATATAGAGGGTAGACAAACTAACATCAACACCTGCGAATGAATATTACCTTTGTGAAGCTTACAATGTTAAATCTTTGTTTGCATTGAAAATAGTTTGTTTCATTAATAGTATTAATGCTGTATTTACATCTAACCACGGACAAGAAAAATATACATTCAAATTAATTTAAAAAACGCATACAGGAAATATAGTTTTAGTCAGTAAAAATCTATGGTGGATGTTCAGTGGTTGTATTTTTGTATTAGATCATTAGTTAATTAATTAATTATGGTTCATAAAACTGTTTAAATTGTATTAAATATTAACCAAATATACATTTCCACTGTTTAGATGGCGTCCTCAAAGGTCATCATTAACTTTTGTAGTGAGTCAGAGATGCAGAGTATTCTAAGAGAGATCCGACACAGGAATATAACTGGCCTGCAGTGGATCGCCAGTGAGGCTTGGGCCACTGCTAAATCACTCTGGGAAAAGTTTGGAGATCTCCTGATGGGAACACTAGGATTTGCAATCCGGAGAGCTGACGTGATTCCAGGGCTGAAACAACACCTCACTAGTCTCAGACCATCCTATATTCATGAATCTGCTTTCTTGGCAGAATTTTGGGAAGAAATGTTTAACTGCCAACTGAACGGGTCAGTGAACAGGCACTCTCACAGGGTTGATAGCAACTTTGACAGACTGCCATGTAAAGGGACGGAGGATTTAAATGATATTTACTCTCCTTATTCTGATGTGACACAGCTAAGAGTGTCCTATAATGTCTACAAGGCAGTGTATCTGGTGGCCCATGCCTTGCAAGATATGAGTAACTGCACAGTCGGACTGGGGCCTTTCCTGAATGGCACCTGTGCAGACCCAAAGAATTTTAAACCTTGGCAGGTGAGAGTAACTGCAGGTTAAATATTTTCACTTTAAGTAAAAATAGAAAAAAAGAAATGCACCATAGTTTGTGTTCAAATAACCTGTTTTCCTTTCTCTCTCAGCTAATACACTACATGAAGCGTGCATATTTTTCTTCGCTGGGGGAGATAGTCAACTTTGATCAAAACGGTGACCCCAATGCTTATTACGATCTCTTGAACTGGCAAAGGATGCCTGACAGTTCACTACATTTGGTAAAAGTAGGTTTCTATGACGCCTCCTCGTCTGGTGGTCGAAGCCTAGTCATAAATGGCTCAGTGATTCAGTGGCCTGTTGGGAACCAGGTGTGTTCTCTGCAAACAGGCTTGAGACAATGTTCAGCTCTTACATTGTTTGAAGTACTATTGATCAACAGATCAGCTAATCTGTTCTTATTAGTATGCAATATGCTTTATATTTTAAGAAGCAGAAGAAAATGTCAACTTCAAATAAATATTAAATGCATGTTATAGAATTGTTAAACTATTACTCCTCCATAATTCTGCCTGCCATAAGCCATTATTTATCACACTAATGGCTTGTTTGGAGAACTGTGTTTTGTTTTAGTTGTAATACACTGAAACTGAGGCTACCAAGGTCAACACTGCATAACAAAGCAGAAATAGAAAACCATAGATAATCACAATTGATTGAAATCAGTGCCTTTCTCAGCGGGTGAACTTTGCCTCTCAGGCTTCCCGGTCTGTATGCAGCGACAGCTGTCCACCGGGTTCCCGCATCGCCAGGAGAAAGGGGGAACCCATCTGCTGTTTTGACTGTGTCCCCTGTGCTGAGGGAGAAGTTAGTAATAAGAATGGTGTGTTGTGTTCTGTCTTTGGTGTGTTCTCGTAATGTAAACTGACCTGCTTAAATCTAAGTGCACCTCCTCTAAACTAATAAGCTCTCCTCCCTCCCCATCTCCAGATTCTTTAGAGTGCTCTCGCTGCTCAGAGGACACATGGCCCAATAAAGCCAGAAATCTCTGCAATCCAAAGATTATTGAGTTCCTGTCATACCATGACTTAATGGGTATTGTGCTGTGTGTGGTGTCTGTTCTCGGAGCTTGTATTTCACTCTCATTCCTCACTATATTCTTCACATACAAAGACACAGCACTGGTTCGGGCCAACAACATGGAATTAAGCTTCCTCCTCTTGGTGTTTCTCGCTATCTGTTTCCTTGTGGGCCTTTTGTTCATTGGTGAGCCTTCAGACTGGCTTTGCCGTATCAGGTACCCAGCATTTGGGATTAGTTTTGCCCTCTGCATTTCATGCCTCCTGGCCAAGACAGTAGTGGTCCTAATGGCTTTTAGGTCCACACTGCCAGGAAGTAATGTCATGAAGTGGTTTGGACCCAACCAGCAGAGAGCCAGTGCACTTTTAGGAACAGCTGTCCAGGTAAGAACACTGTCTATAAGTCAGCTCTAACAGTGTCCCATTAAAAATTAACATCCTGTTTTGCCCCTCTGTTCAGGTAATAATCTGTCTAATCTGGCTGCTCACCAGTCCACCTCATGCCAACAACAACAGAGATTTCCACAGTGCTACCATCATCATCGAGTGTGTTACTGGTTCGGAGGTTGGCTTCTGGTGTGTTCTTGGATACATCGGCCTCTTGGCCTGCATGTGCTTCCTAATGGCTTTTTTTGCCCGGAAGCTACCTGATAATTTTAACGAGGCAAAGTTCATCACCTTCAGCATGCTGATATTCTTTGCAGTGTGGATTACTTTTATCCCAGTTTATGTGAGCACAGCTGGGAAATACACAGTGGCTGTCCATATTTTTGCTATTTTAGCCTCAGCTTTTGGTCTTCTTTTTTGCATTTTTGCTCCAAAGTGCTATATCATAATTCTGAAACCGGAAAAAAACAGCAAGAAAAACATGATGCAAAGATAAACAAATGTTGAAGAGATGTAATGTATAAGAAAGTGACTTTAATGAAATATCTGTATGTTGTGTTGAAATACTCACTTTAAAATGTTTGTCTAATAATGGACTAATGACAATATGTTGAAACTTAATAGTCAAAAACTGTACACATATAATTAGACTTTTAATTAAAATGTATGTGGAAATAAATAGCGTTATCAGATCCAGACATTGGATTTTTTCTTTTATTCAGCAAGCATACTTTAGACAAAAAGTCTTTGTACTAATGAATATTACTTTATATTGAATTTTCCACTATTTGTATCTATACCATGGTCTGGGTGAATACTCGGTTCTGATTGGCTGCAGGTTGTCTAATAATTCCTGATTAAGGACACCTACTAAGTCACTCCAATGACACTGTCTGTTTATCATTCAAAAATTAATGTGCTGGCTACATAGTATCAGTCTGAGTGTAGTCCTTCAATGTCTCATCTTTTGTGCACCATAGTATGGTGAATGTAAGACAGAAGCTGCAATAAGTAGGGGAGAGCCTGGATGATTGAAACACTTACGTCATTGTAAAATATAACATTACAGACAGAAATCATTTGTTGATGTCATCAACAACTCATGTGTGTGTTCTATCAGTACTAGGTGCTGTCTTAAAAAGTGGAACAACTTCAGTATAATTTCACTTTGAAGAGCGAACGAAAGGTGCGCAGTTTCATTCGTCCCTACTGTGCGGGACGGATGAAAGACAGGGGTGGGACGTAAGAAACACAACGATATACATTTAAATAGTTTATGTTATTCTTGTTTTTATTTAGAAAGCTTGACATTGCCCTTCTTAATACGTAATTGCAAACTCATTATGTCCTTTTTCTTAATAAAAAATAGTATAAATATAACTTAGCTAGCAAACTAGAATATCCAACAGCTAATGCATGTTTGGATTAGATATTGGCTGCCCTTTTTATGTACATCTGCAGCCTGTTTTCCTGGTCTACTGTGAAGACCCTATTATTTGGCTTTATGGTCTGCAGCCTATTGGACTCTGCCCCCCTCCCGCTGTATCTAAATAAGGTAGCATGGCTATTGAAACAGGTGTTTCAATCATCTCGACAGTGACTCCTGACGTTTAAACTTCACTAGCTTCTAAACTGTAAAACTTTGACATTTAAAACTTCAGGATGTGTTAAAGTACTAACTAATCTTTCATGTGATTATGACCATGACACATGGAACAATAAGCACAACTCGTCATTCAAAAAAAATGATCGCTTGAGTGAATTTACTTTCCGTGATTGAAAACAGCTTCTTTTGTATAACTCTGTGAAAGTGTGACGTATCCACCTGATTTTTGTCGGTTCTGTTAAGTACTGTTGGACTGTATGTGCTGAGGTAGTTTGGCATATCAGACTTGTATGGGCTCCGAGAAAATCGCTGTGTTTCTTACTGATACTTCAGATCGCTACTTCTGGATGCGGCCAACAGTACGCATTTGTTTGTGAAAATCATGATATTGATTTGAGGGCAATGACATGGCTAGATAGCTAGCTAGTCATATTGTTGAACATACCGTCAAATTATATTACCTGCTTGTCAAACGTTCGTAGTGTTATTGACTTTGAATCTTGCTAGGATAATGTTAGCTTTCTGGCTATTATATGAGCTGATTAGACTAGAAATATTTCCAGTCCTATGTTTGTCCTATTAACTGTAGATCTGAACAACGTTCTCATTGTATAAGGATGGTAATAATTACCAGATATTACTCACACCCTCATGTGTTACCAGGGAAATGGTTATGGCTTGTGAAAAACTTGAGAATTGAATTGCAAATATATTCTCTTATCGTTTTTCCTTATGGCAAGTGACCATGCTATAATTGGGATAATGCCCAACCAGGTGTCCATTATCAGGAATTAATGGACAACAGGGAGGCCAGAACTGTCTGACATGCAGCAGAGAGCATTATCCCTTATGTATGTTAAACTCATATGCACATTTAATTCATTAAATAGTGTCCCAATATATAGGCTAACTCATTTTCTTATCAGTAAAGATTTTAACCGGCACTCACAGTTTTTCCCATGACATGTTTCTTTGTATTTTTCTCTGGCTTGATCAATATTATATAACATTTAGGTGCAAAAATGCTAATGAATAAGCCAAATACTGAAGACAAAATTGCAAAAATTTCCACAGCTACAGTGAACTTTCCAGGAGAGCTTACATATGCTGGAATGAAGGTGATCCAGACAGCACAGAAAATCAGCATGCTGAATGTAATCAATTTAGCTTCGTTAAAGTTATCAGGCAACTTTCTTGCTAGAAATGCCAGGACCAAACATATTATTGCAAGGAACCCTATGTACCCCAGCACTGCATAGAACGCAGCCTCAGAGCCTGTGTTACATTCTAAAACAATCTTTTTATTGCTGTATTTGAAAACCATGTCTGGGAAAGGTGGCTTTAACTTGAGCCACAGCACACATATCACTATCTGAATCAAAGTGCAGGAGCAAACTATGATCCTTTGCTGAGCAGGGCCAAATTTTCCTGCAAATTTGCTGCCAGGAAATGTAGCTTTGAAAGCTGTAACAACAACAATAGTTTTTCCCAAGACACAGGAAATACAAAGTGCAAATGTCACACCAAAAGCTGTGTGCCGTAGCATGCATGTCCAGATTGTGGGCTTGCCCATGAAAGTGAGGGGACAGAGAAAACACAAAACAAGAGAAATCAACAGGAAACAGCTCAGCTCCGAGTTGCTGGCCTTTATCACAGGAGTTTCACTGTAGCGGATAAAGACCATCATTGTGGCCAGGGATAGGGAGACCCCTAGCAGGGATACAACTGTGAAAGCTATTCCCATTGGCTCGTGATATGTCAGGAACTCAATTGTTTTAGGGATGCACTCATCTTTCCTCTCATTTGGCCAGTATTCCTGTGGACAGGGTGTGCAGTCTACTGCACCTGTTAAACATGGACAGAAAAAATGTTCTGTGTCTGGATGTTACGCCTGCAGAAAATGCAATGAAGTGTAAAGCAAGGAAATTCAATATGGTGCAGTAATACTTTAAACAAGAATTATATGGAAGACTAAATACATGATATGATATTGGATTGTGTATGGTTGTTTACTATGGCCTACATGCTTTTGATACCTGTGGAGTTGGCTATAGTTCCATCAGCACATGGGATACAGTCAAAACAGCAGGTGGGTTTTCCTTTTATTTGAGCTTTCCTGGTTCCTACTGGACAAATATTAGAGCACACCGATGTCGGAACCTGAGAATTAAAAAACTATGTAAACTATGTAATAATAATAACTATGAAATAATAGAGCAGGCACATTCAGTTGATTTTATGTTCCAACAGTAAACAGTTAAAAGTCCTCATAATTACCATTTTCCCTGTCCTCCACACAACTTCTTTCTCCTGGATGCTGAGCTTAGAATCACTGTTAGCAGCAGAGGCAAAATGACCCAGTGTGACATGTTGCACCTGCCCATCTATGAGCTGCCAGTTAATAATATCATAAGATGCAGGAGGGTCACCATTGACATCAAAAAACACATCATCCCCAAACTGATTCCTAAAATTCACTCTTTGTAGGTAATCACTGACCTGAGAAAGGAGCAGATTAACAGGATAACTTATATACAGATATGTTCATAATATATTTGCAGACAGGGATATTACTTGAACAATTTCTCACCTCTTTGAGCTGAATATCTGATATATTCAAACATGGCCTCACTGTTTTCTTTACAACCGGTTGGCAAAATACCAGCTGATGTAGGGCATGGGCAATGGCATAAACGGCTTTGTAGACATTATAGGCCTCTCTCAGCTGTGTGACATTGAAGAACTCATCCTGGGAATTCATTAATGTCTCATTGCCTGTGCATATTTTATTTGTTGCCTCAGTACCTGTCTGTTCCCCAGGTAAAACAGGTATACAGCCGACCATAATCTCCCAGAAATCCCTCACAAAGGCTGCTCTTGGATCAGTGTAAGGGCTAATGCCCAAAAGAAATGGTTTTAGATTTGGAATAGCCATCTTCTGCACAACAAATCCTAGGGCTCCACCAAATGCTTGGTAGATTTCAGGTGTGGAGGGTTGAGTTGCTGTTATCCAGGCCTCACTGGCAATCCACTGAATTCCTGTAATGTTCTGTTTCACAACCTCTTTCATCAAAGGGTAAAAGTCACCCTCTGGAGCAAAAGCCAGAATGACTTTGACAGTTGACTGTTTGATCATTTCCACAACATCCAGTATTTTATCCATAGTGTATGTACGCAGAACTGTCCCAACAAATGCAATACAAACCCCAAACCTTTTCACCTCATTAGTAAAAGCCAGGATCCCATTCCGTCCATAGTCATTGTCTGACTGTATGACCCCAATCCACTGCCAACCGAAACGTTTGACCAGAGCTGCCAAAGCTTTTGCCTGGAAGTAGTCGCTGGGGATTGTCCGAAAAAATGTAGGATATTTAGTTCTATCACTCAGGCAGGCACATGTTGAGAAGTAACTTACCTATAAAAAGAACACAGAAAAAACTTTGAAAAAAGCCTTATGAAAGCATCAAATTTCACACCACACTAATTCAATATCTTACTATTGGCAGTTGAAATGGTCCAAAAGTTCCAGCCACAGCTAAAGACTGAGATGATCCTGCCTCAGCAATAAGGGCAGAAATAGCTGGAGGACAAGGGGATGTCAATTCAATCTCCTCTGGTCTACTTGCCAGTGTGAGTGCAGCACGTAAAGTATTTGTAGGAGATGAACAAGAGTTCAGGATCTTATAGCCAAGAGATATGTTTGGCAGGAGAGTAGGATCTTTGTTGATTTCCTCAATTGCAAATATCATCACTTGGGTCCACCGAAAAGCTCGCAGGTCAAATCTAAAAGTTTTTGGTGATAGAAATAGGTTGTAAGATTAAAGAACTGCGGTTGTACATGTACATACAATAGTAAGTTTCTAAGACAAGAGTAGAGAAACATGTATGAAGTATAGAAAAGTCAGCTATATTAATACTTACTTTGCACACTTCACTCCAGGCGGCTTTGTCTTGAATGTAGAAGTGCTACTTATCTCTTTGTTGAAAACAGGGAAAATTCCCCCGATCATTATGTCTCCCTGCTTAAACAAACTTGGCATGTCAAACTTACCAAATAGCTCACAGCCAGAAACTGTGCTCAGGTAGAGAACAAACAGAGATAAGATAATACCTCCCTGCAGGTCATACATGTTTGCTAAGCATTTCTTGATGAGGCCACAGTTCTTATAGCAACTGCATCAGACACAGGTATACAAGCTCTCTTCCTAAAAAGGTGATTTATTTCCCACAGGGCACAGCAATCTTAGATGGGTGGGTATGGATGTGTTAGGTAACGTGCTTCCCTGTTTGAACAAACTGTTTGCTGTCAAGTATTTTCAAAGCTAAGATTATGTAGCTTTGCACTTCTTTCAGTGTGCTGTTTTGGACTACACAACTCAAGACACTTCTGCAGCTAATAACATGGTGATTAATGACAGAAACACAGCAATGCTCACGCATTCCCATTAACTTGAAACCATCTAAAAGAGTTTTATTGCCAGCAGTTTCCTTGTAATATCAGAGCTCACCTAACAGCCGGCAGCTCTGTGCTGCTCAAACTGCTGCTGACAGGATTGTCCTGATAAAATGATGCATTCACTAACAAATTCATCAGTTGGACATATTTTTGATTCTGTGATGCTGGAAACGTTTCAACTATAAAACTGACTGTTTGAGGTTTACCACTGTTATTCAGTTCACCAACACTCACTCATCAGGTGAGGTGTCCCCATATCTTGCTCCTTCATTTTCTGTTCAAGTACCTTTTTGCGATGATTTGTTCATTTTAATTGAAATGTAAATGATCCTTTTTGTATGTATAGTGCCTTTTTAATCTTCCAACCACTCAAAGCGCTTGTACACTATATCGTATTGACCCATTCACGCACATTCATAACACAGATGGAACATCCGACATCGGGGGCAAATCGGGGTTCAGTATCTTACCCAAGGACACTTCGACACTTCGGAGCCGGGGATCGAACTGTCAACCTGCTCTTCCTCCTGAGCCACAGACCCCATTGAGTGTTTATTTGTGTGTACTTGTTTTATGTACTTTTATTAAATGTGAAATTGTTTAAAAAGCCATAATGACAAAAAATATTTTATATTTATATAATTTTTTTTTTTGAAATCCTCCTTTCACCTCTTGCAGGATGGTGTGTTTCATCCTCAAACTCGGGTCCTCTACCAGAGGCTTGGGACTTTGAGGGTTCTGCGCAGTACCGTAGCTGTTCTTAGGACTGCACTCTTCTGGACAGAGACCTCTGACGTTTTACCTGGAATCTGCTGTAGCCACTCTCCCAGTTTGGGGGTCACAGCCCCCAGGGCTCCGATTACCACTGGCACCACTGTTGCTCTTACTTTCCACATCTTTTCTAGCTCTTCTTTCAGCCCTTGGTATTTCTCAAGCTTCTCGTGTTCCTTCTTCTTGATGTCGCTGACGCTTGGGATTGCCACATCTATAACTGCAGCCTTCTTCTGCTGTTTGTCGATCAACACGATGTCTGGTTGGTTAGCCGTCACCAGCTTGTCAGTCTGGATCTTGAAGTCCCACAGGATCTTAGCTCGGTCATTCTCAACTACCTTAGGAGGTGTCTTCCATTTTGACCTTGGGACTTCCAGCCCATACTCATGGCAGATGTTCCTGTACACTATGCCAGCTACGTGGTTATGGCATTCCATGTACGCTCTTCCTTCCTGCATCTTACACCCTGCTGTACTGTCTCAGGGTTTGCACCTGGGGTCCTGCCTGGTGTGGTAAATCCCAGCCTCTATTGATCTTGTACTGAGTGCCTGTTTTTGTGCCGCCATGATCAGTGCTTCTGTGCTGTCCTTTAGTCCAGCCTTTTCCAGCCACTGGTAGGATTTCTTGATATCAGCCACTTCTTCAATTTGCCTGTGGTACATGCCATGCAGCAGCTTGTCTCTCCATGAACGTTCTTCGTCTTCCTTGTCCTCACCCTCGGGTTTCTGCTGCCTGAGGTATTCACTAAGCTCTTCATCTTTGGGGGCCGTCTTCCTGATGTACTCATGGCCGTCTTCCTGATGTACTCATGGATCTTTGTCGTTTCATCCTGGACAGTGGTCTTGACACTCACAAGACCTTGGCTATGCTTATTGTACAGTCTCAGGGCGCTGGATTTGGGGAGAAACCCTCCATGCATTGTGAGAAGCTTTCTTGTCTTGATGTCAGTGGCCTCTATCTCCTCCTTTGGCCAGTTTACTATACCAGCGGGGTATCTGATGACTGGCAGTATGTGTTGATGGCTCTGATCTTGTTCTTCCCACTCAGCTGACTTTTAAGGACCAGCCTTACTCTCTGTAGGTGCAATATTTGGCTGTGGCGGACTTCCTTGCTGCCTCCTCATGGTTTCCACCCCAAGGTATTTGTAGCTGTCTTGAACATCTGCAATGTGGCCTTCTGGTAGTTCAACCCCCTCAGTTCTGATCATTTTCCCTCTTTTTGATACAATGTGGCCACACTTGTCCATTCCGTCCGACATTCCACTGTCGTTGCTGTAGATCCTGGTAGTGGGGATCGGTGAGTCGATGTCTTGCTCATTTCTGGCATACAGCTTGATGTCATCCATGTAGAGGAGGTGACTGATGGTTGTTCCACTTCAGAACCGGTATCTGTAGCCAGTCTTTGTGATGATCTGGCTGAGGGGGTTCAGGCCTATGCAGAACAGCAGCGGGGATGGTGCATCACCTTGGTATATGCCGCACTTGATTGTGACTTGTGCAATTAGCTTTGAGTTGGCTTTCAGACTTGTTTTCCACAGCCCCATTGAGTTCTTGATGAAGGCTATTAGTGTCCTGTTGATCTTGTACATTTCCAAGCATTCCAGTATCCATTTATGTGGCATTGAGTGGCATTTATAGGCTTTCTTGTAGTCAATCTTGCAGTCTTGAGTGACTGCTCTATCAACCAGTAGCTGGTGCTTTGCTCCCCTGGTGTTACTGCCCATTCCCTTCTGGGCCCTGTCCATGTACTGAGCCATGTGCCTACTCATCTTAGCCGCTATGATGCCTGACAGGAGCTTCCATGTTTTGCAGAGGCAGGTTATTGGCTGGTAGTTGGATGGGATTGTTCCCTTCTGGGGATCCTTCATGATCAGGACTGTCCATCCTTGGGGTAGGACCCGAGCTTGAGGATGAGACATACCACCCCGCAAGGGGTTAGAGGCGGATATATATATATATATATATATATATATATATATATATATATATATATATATATATATATATGTTTTATAGATTATAAGGAAGAGGCCTGAGAACAGTGAATGTTAGGTTAGCTGGTAGAGTGAGAGGTAACAACCAGCTTTATTAGAAGGGTAATGACTTATCATTTAATGCATTCATTAATGCCGGACCCCACATGCACTAATGACTAATCAAAATATGAACCAATGCATAAAGTACGATTCATTTAGGAGGGTTCATGCTAAAATGACTAGTGTATGGCCTTTATTAATTATAGTAAATATTTTTGAGTAATATTAAATGTTCTAAAGCAGTTGTGAATGGCCAACAACAGTCTGACAAGGCTGTCTGATTGGTCAGCAGTAACTCACGTTTAACTTCTCAAGAGATGAACAAAACAATTCCTCTTTTCATTCAAACCCATTTACAGCAGTTGGCTGCTTCAGCTGCCTGTACACTGTATGTATCCAGCAGTGATGGCAAAACAAAGCTTTCCAGACTACCGAGTCATTCTGAAGGAACTGTACTAAAACAGGTTCATTGTTTTGATGTCTTTGATACAGTTATCAGTTACGGTGACATCTGCAGGGCAATACTTGATTCTACATTTATGAAAAGATTAAAACAGACACCTTGTGAAACAGTGATTCAAAACATCTGTCATCTTTGATGTTTTAGCCAATAATCAAAAAAAGAAAAAAGATTTCATGACATCAGTGCATACATGTCCAAAAACATGTGGCAAAAAACACACATCTTGGTTTGGTTGACTGTGGCCTAGTACAGTATAATTGTTTAACTCTTCAAACGGCTGGTCATGAGTGGTTTGATGAGATTATACAGCGAACCATATGTACCATCCCACTCCTTCAATTATTTTTGATACACTTAAATATCAAGAAAACTGTACTATAAATATAAACTGTAATATTTTGACAATTGCGGAAGTGCAGGCCCTGCAATGGACGACCTGTCAAGGGTGTACCCTGCCTTTCGCCCGATGTCAGCTGGGATTGGCTCTAGCCTCCCCGCGACCCTGTACACAGGATAAGCGGTTGACGTTGGATAGATGGATGGAAAACTGCACTATAAATATAAACTGTAATATTTTGACAATTGTGGAAGTGCAGGCCCTGCAATGGACTGGCCCGATGTCAGCTGGGATTGGCTCCAGCCCCCTGTATGCAGGATAAGCGGTTGACGATGGATGGGTGGATGGATGCGGAAGTGTAAAGACTAACTACACATATACAGGGAAACGTGTTTTTTTGAGGTGCTCTGTAGAAATGTTCTCTCCCTCTACAATCTTTTTTTCTTATATTTGCACCTTATGCACATCTTCTATACTGGTCCACTGTCTTGCAAAAGGACACTTTAATGGCTGTTGGTGATAAGGTGGAGAATGTTTTGTGTTCCCTATCTTCTTTACTTATGTCCTAGTCTGTGCTGTTATCCACTAAACAATCATTAATATCATCTAATACAGAACATTTTCCAACATTTATATAATGCAGTTACAAATTCTACTGTACAGTATACTCTACAGTATTTATGATAAAATAAAAACAAAAACCTGAGTCCGTATATTCAATCTATTCAACAAGTTACAGCAAGTAAAATGTCATGAATTACAACAATGGTTTGTTTCTACAATGTTTATGGTTCTACAAAGTAAAGTTTGTTGTCACTCTAAGCCAATTTGTTGGACACTTGGAAACTGAATTACAGATTAAAGAGTTCTCCCTGGTATTTTCCTCATCAAATGAATTTTTGAGTTTTGTTTTGGCTTGAAGATAATAATATAGCATTTTGGGACAAAAATGCATACCAG